TATAGTCAGGTACTGGTGGTTTCATCTGACAATGTGGGTTCAAACCAGCTTCAGGGGATACGGAGGGGACTCCATGCTGATTCAGTTGTGGTGATGGGAAAGAACACCTTGATGAAACGCTCTATCATCATGGATGCTCAGAAGACTGGCAACAAGGCCTTCCTTAACCTTGTCCCCCTTCTTGTGGTAACTTTGCTTCCTTGTTTTGGTGTCTCTTGTACCAGAAAATAATTTTGATAATAATAGGAAAAGTGAAGTAATTTCATTAAATTTTGAAGACAGTTTTAATGTTTAAGGTTGTTTCCTTAATCAGGGGAATGTGGCATTAATTTTCACCAAAGGTGACATAAGAGAGGTCAGCGAACAGATTGCCAAGTACAAGGTCAAGTAACATGTTTTGTTTATTTTATGTTCAATAATGTTCTAAATTACTGTTATGTAAGTGTGAGGTATCTCTATGTAATAAGGTGAAAAGGAATGTTTGTTATAGTAGTTTAATCCTTTTTCAATCTTTCCACAGTATCTATGTTTAAGTAATGACAATTATTTACCGCACAGCTGATGGTTAAGCTCATGTAAACAACTTACACATACACATTAAGAGAGAGGAAAATTGTGTTAATTTTATACATCTCTTGGGAGTTACCCTTTAGTCTTGTATTGCAGTCCATGAAGGAAAATATCTATGGAGAAGCAACAACTGAAACCCCTATCCTTGTATGGCACACCTGTGATTCTTTTTTCCATTTTCCTGAGTTGATTATCTAAGTGAGATTATCAATCGCAATTTAGGTTATTTGCTTTGGAGTCATGTAGGAGAGAAGGCATGTTATTACAACTTAGTTTTCTATGTTGCTAAGTTCACATACTAGGATTCTGCTAGTTGGTTCACCAGAAAGAGTCTTTCATACATAGCATCATCGAAGATGTATACGTAAAACTGTTCGTTCCTAAATGTATACACATTAGTTTTTAGTTTCCTTCAGTGTCATTCAATTTCTCGGAATATGGGAAACAGAGGGTCAGACAGCTAAAAAAGCATTGATCTTCTGTCATTGTTTGTTGATTTTACAGTATATTCTACTCTTTAAGATTTAGCTACATTATTTGCTAACCACTTCTACTGTTTTCAAGTTGGATGAGTTAACTTCATGCTGCAGTAAATAAACCTTTTAGTAATGTTCAATATGTCCAAAATTTTGATGTGAGCGTGCCATGCATTGCATTAGGACTAAACATTATGTTAAATAATGTTTGTTTTATTTAGTTCTTAGTAGCATGATGGAGAACTCAGATTTTTTTCTCTCTTTATTGGACTAACCTTCTGACATAATCACATTAATATTAGTGATATGCACATTTGGAAGATTTGCTTCTTTATGAAAGAACCTATTAGAAGGCCTCCTGATCAAAAGCCTTATGTTTTCACTAACTATTTCTGCAGGTTGTTCAACCGATTCTAATGTGCCCCAAGTATATGTCACATGACACATACCAGAATTGTTCCTATATGCAATCTGGACAGTTACCTTTGGGCCTCACATGTTGTAATCAACAGCAGTCTTCGCAGGTTTCTGAGCCTTTTCTTGTATGCTCAAAATTCCAGCCACACCAACATTGTTTCATGATGAGATCAAGGCAGTTCTTGATGACAAGTATATGGTCTCCTCTTCTCCTTTTGGCTGGCAACTTGTGACATCGACCAAGTATTTGATTTGGATCACATGGTTTGTATTACTCTTTTCTTTGTGCATTGTTGGCTTTCAAACTCTATTTAGTTAAAATTCTCCCATTTCAGGGATTATGGAAAATGAAATCATTTTGATAACTGAGATTTCTGATACTTGGAGTTTTAGTTCACCCAAGAATTTATCTTCTTTTTGAATAAGAATATGACAACATGTTTGTTATCTTCATGTTAATCAATTTATCTGGTAAGTACAGCTTCTTGTGAAGGTCTATTAACGTCACTATTTTCACAATTTCAGAATCTCTCAATTTCAAAAACATATATATTCCAATGCATTTACATCTCTTCATTATTTTTAAACTGCATTTACATCTCTTATTTTTATTATCTTTACAATAACTTTTCAAGTAATTAAAAAAGGATTATGTGTAATACTTTTAAAATTTAAAGAGTAGTATGAGTTATGTAAAAAAAATGACAATATAAGGTTTTCAAAACAAAGGGAGGTATGTGTAAAATTTGAAATAAATTGAGATGTCCATTTAATTCAACAAAACCTCAAGAAATATTTGTACGATTCAATTTAATACCTTTTAATTATATGTCGCATTTTAGTTTTAAGAAAAAAAAGACATGAATTAAAACAATAATTAGAACAAGTTATCTATGCTCACTTTTAAGCTGAAATTTTTACATTCGTATTAACCCTCACATAAAAAAAAGATGTGTACGATAAATACATTTTTTTTATTGTTTGAACGTGTTGAAAAATTTAAGATTTCATTGATTAATATGAAATGATATTATAGTTAATATAAAATCACAAATTATTTTATTATTTTCATTAACAGTACACCTGATAATAATGAGACCGTCATCATTTGCATTAAGATGATGATTATGACAATTCATTAATTGTTACAGGCGATATTGACAATGTTATTTATTTTAAATTAATTGTAAAATTTTACACTTTGGGACAAATAAATAAAATAATACATAAAATAACATGCACGTCAAAAAATAGTAAATAGAAACACTTAATTAAAACTATACAACTATGAATACTCAATTACAAAAATAAAAAATAATAAAATTCAATTAAATTATCTAAATTTATAAAATACTTAAAACTTAATTAAATTTAATTAAATTTAATAATATATATATATATATATATATATATATATATATATATAAGATTAAAAAAGATATTATCTTCGCTCAAATGTAAATCACAACTATTAATATTATAAGCCTATTGTTTTAATATAATTATTTTCGAATTTTAATTATATCAAATAATTATTACAGAGGTTGTACTATGGTATTCGCAACCACACCCGTCACACAAAATTTATGGATAAAATATTCATCCCTACTTAAATTACACTTACAAAACAAATCAATAATCACATAAGGGAAATTAAAACAAAAGTCTTTAAAGGTAAATTTTAATGGGAGAGAAAATAATAAATCTAATATAATATTTAGTTAAATAATAAACAAAAAGTAAAAGGAAATTTGACTATTAAATACAAAAAATCAAATTTCTATTTCTTATATTTTCTATTTAAATTTATTTTAAATTTCTCTCTCATTTTATTCTGACTTTCAAAATATCTTCATATTTTTTTACCGAGATAATATAAGAAATTGAAATATATATATTTTTAGGTAGATTAGAACTAAATACAAATGTATATTTTTCAGAAAAAAAAAACTAGTTTGAATTTTTATACATTCAAATTCAAATAATTGAATCGAAATTTAAACTTATACCTTTTCAAAGAAAATAGTTTAAATATTTATAAATTGATTTGATATCAGTTTTGCATTCATATATTTTTTTAAAAATTATTATAAATATAAAATAATTAAAAATAAGGATAAGTAATATGTTTAGTGAATATCAAACTTAATTCAATGTAATAATTGATAATATAGTGTGATAAAAAAATTATAAAAAAACATATATTGTGAAACATCTTGAAACATAATTTATTTAAATAAATAGTAATTAAAATTCAATATGCTCTCTGTTAATACTTCACTTAATTCAATTTTATAATTATTAAAATAAAAAAAGTATGCATGAATATTATCTCCATACTCACTTTTTACATAATATTAGGTATTGATTTTTTTAAAATTTAGTGCAAAATATAAAACAATAAAAAATATACTTTATATCTTCTGTTTCTTTTTAATAGCTCGTGTAACATTTTTTTTCCTTTATATAAAACTAAACAAAAGCTTTTGGATGAACCTAACTAAATTATCTTGTTGTATTACTGTTGTATACTTGTTTATATTATTGTATTAAATATAACGTGTACCAATATCAAATACAAAAACTAGTTTATTTTTAGAATATTAATTATTTGCATATTTTGTGAAATATGAAGACTCATATTCCTACAAAATGATATTAAAAATATTGTTAAATTTAAATTATTTATGATTTAAAGTCAATTTATAAACATTTAAACTATTTTATTTTAAAATATATATATTTGAATTTAATCCAATATAATTATTTGAATTTTCTTTCCATAAGACTTCGTTTAAAAAGTATATCAATTTAGATTTAATTTCAATCTAATTACATAGATTATATTTGGATTTTGGGATTATATTGTTTGAAAAACTAATTAATTAATTCCAAGAAAGCATAGACAAAATATTGAGAATTTATTTATTTTTAAATTATTAATTAATTTCCCATTTTAATAAATATGAAATAATTCAACAAATTCTGATTCTAAAACTTATTCATAGAAATTATATAATAATTTAAAATTATTTTAAATTTAAACATTCTTTTAAAATATATCAATTTTAAAACTATAACAAACTAATTTATAAACTTAAGAATATAATGTTTTTAAAAGTGTGAATTGGATTATATTCATGCCCATATCTAATATTTGTATTAAAAGTGACCTCTATACAAAAAATTGTAAACATGTATACAAAATTTTCAACTAAAATATCATGTTCAAGGAATGAACTGACGGTGATTTTGACCTACCACCATCCAAGTACCACTAAAACAAAAAGAAAAATGTTCATTAATTTTGATGAAGAAAAATATAAAGTTGAGTTATGAAATGATAATGATCCATAATATCTAATTAATGGGTGGAGGATAAGATATGCAAAGTATTTTAATTAAACCATATTAAAGTGTATATTATCACATAACATTTTCATGGATCAAAATTACACAACACTTTTTAGAAAATAATTGAACTCAATCAATAAAGAAAGGGAACCCATTTTGAAATTTTCATCAAGAAAATCATGTGATGCACAAGTAGGTCAATCATTTACAAGAAAACAAGCAAATATCATCTTTTTCTTTTTCTGTTTTATCATGTAACGAAACAAAGTAGGAAGAAGAACAAGCTCTTACACCTTCAATGTCAATTTTGTAAACCAGAAGCTTCTTTCTTTCTCTGCAACTTGTTCTGTAGGCAACAACCACATGTAACACTGCCAAAGAACACGACCACACGAAGAGAGTTATCTGGGAGCCTCTGTCGTACCTTAGTAATTCTGTTTCTCCAACACTTGTGTCGTAGCCAAACAAGTAAACAACTTTGAAGCAAACAAACATCAGAGACATCACAGAGCATAACATGGTCACTCCCAGATAAGGCCCACGTGAAAGCTTTGGTCCATCACAAAAACTATAAACACCTACACAAAACCCACCACCCACCAATCCCAACACACAGGAATCAATCGGAATCTTGCATTAGACAGCTTTGGTATCTTTTCTCTGATTGTAATCAGAAATATTTTATCCAAAAACTGTTCTTTTAAACTAAACTGCAAGTATCAGTACGAAAGAAAGATTCAATTTTAATTAGAAAGTAATGCTAAAACCAGATTAAAAAAGTTTGATGAAGCTTAAAATTGAAAAGGGTATTCGGAAATGGAAGATTTGGCACTTACAGAAAATGAGAAGTGATCGTGCAATAGATAGAAGGGGTATGTCAATGAGAGAGTATCCGAAATGGTAGTTCTGAAAATGGGAGAAAAGAGAAGAGGAAGAAAAGGCTGAGAATAGAACTGAAGGAACAAGTGCATCGACAATGACCGATAGAACTGGGGCAGAGAAAATAAGAAGTGAGAAAACCATCGTGATCAAGAAGAACACAATCTTCACACCTCTCAATACCCTCTTGGATTTCTCTTCCTTTGGAAAACCCATCTTCTTGATAACTTAGCTTTCTTTCTGATTCGAATACTTCAAAACTACTGTGTTTATTATGCACAAAGGGTAGAAGCAATTCACAAGAAAAAATGAAGGAAAAACCTTAAGAAAGAGAAACGGCAAAAAATTATTAGAACTTTAAACGCACAAAAATTAAGACTTTCTATCTTTTTCTCTCACCACAAAACTCTGTTTTCTTCGTTTCAATGTTCTTTTAAGTTGGCGCTTTGGGAGGGTGATTCTGTATGAACCATGAATTGTATTGAAAATGAATCTTTGTTCAGATTTTGGCACGTGTCCCCTGATTTGAGATCTAACGTATTGGCTCTGGTTGTGGTGATTTCAGTTTTCAATATTTATATGCTAATGGGCGAACGCATGGTAGAACCCGAAGATCAAACGCATGTAATTACATGCTCTGTTTTGTCTTTACCAGTCACATAGGTATAATTAATTAATTAATTTTTGTTTTCTACCTCCGTACAGTTGAAAACATTTTTTTAATAGTTTTTCTATGAGTATTTATAAAATTAAAACAAAATAATGTTATTAAAAAACTAAAATTAGTTTATAGTATGTATCTCCATCATTTATTTTGTTGCAATTTTCATTCTTTTAAAATTAAGCATGCTGATAATTCTTTTAAAATTAAGCATGCTAACAAGGAGTATATTACTTTAATTTCTTTTATAAGAGTAAATTTATATAATTTGAGTAAAAAATAGATTTAACTTTTTGTAGAGGGTGATGGTTAGTTTAGAAAATAAATATACTCACAATGGTTAATTAGGAAACAAATAATTAGAGAAAAAAATACAATATATTAATAAATTATAATTTCAATTATTGAATTTAAATTAATATTTACCATTGTCTTTTATCAAATGTTTTTTTTTGTTTCCGTATTTAAAAAGATAGTTTAAAACTATGAAAGAAACAGGCTATTTTAAAGTGCAGGTTGANTTAGTTAAATAATAAACAAAAAGTAAAAGGAAATTTGACTATTAAATACAAAAAATCAAATTTCTATTTCTTATATTTTCTATTTAAATTTATTTTAAATTTCTCTCTCATTTTATTCTGACTTTCAAAATATCTTCATATTTTTTTACCGAGATAATATAAGAAATTGAAATATATATATTTTTAGGTAGATTAGAACTAAATACAAATGTATATTTTTCAGAAAAAAAAAACTAGTTTGAATTTTTATACATTCAAATTCAAATAATTGAATCGAAATTTAAACTTATACCTTTTCAAAGAAAATAGTTTAAATATTTATAAATTGATTTGATATCAGTTTTGCATTCATATATTTTTTTAAAAATTATTATAAATATAAAATAATTAAAAATAAGGATAAGTAATATGTTTAGTGAATATCAAACTTAATTCAATGTAATAATTGATAATATAGTGTGATAAAAAAATTATAAAAAAACATATATTGTGAAACATCTTGAAACATAATTTATTTAAATAAATAGTAATTAAAATTCAATATGCTCTCTGTTAATACTTCACTTAATTCAATTTTATAATTATTAAAATAAAAAAAGTATGCATGAATATTATCTCCATACTCACTTTTTACATAATATTAGGTATTGATTTTTTTAAAATTTAGTGCAAAATATAAAACAATAAAAAATATACTTTATATCTTCTGTTTCTTTTTAATAGCTCGTGTAACATTTTTTTTCCTTTATATAAAACTAAACAAAAGCTTTTGGATGAACCTAACTAAATTATCTTGTTGTATTACTGTTGTATACTTGTTTATATTATTGTATTAAATATAACGTGTACCAATATCAAATACAAAAACTAGTTTATTTTTAGAATATTAATTATTTGCATATTTTGTGAAATATGAAGACTCATATTCCTACAAAATGATATTAAAAATATTGTTAAATTTAAATTATTTATGATTTAAAGTCAATTTATAAACATTTAAACTATTTTATTTTAAAATATATATATTTGAATTTAATCCAATATAATTATTTGAATTTTCTTTCCATAAGACTTCGTTTAAAAAGTATATCAATTTAGATTTAATTTCAATCTAATTACATAGATTATATTTGGATTTTGGGATTATATTGTTTGAAAAACTAATTAATTAATTCCAAGAAAGCATAGACAAAATATTGAGAATTTATTTATTTTTAAATTATTAATTAATTTCCCATTTTAATAAATATGAAATAATTCAACAAATTCTGATTCTAAAACTTATTCATAGAAATTATATAATAATTTAAAATTATTTTAAATTTAAACATTCTTTTAAAATATATCAATTTTAAAACTATAACAAACTAATTTATAAACTTAAGAATATAATGTTTTTAAAAGTGTGAATTGGATTATATTCATGCCCATATCTAATATTTGTATTAAAAGTGACCTCTATACAAAAAATTGTAAACATGTATACAAAATTTTCAACTAAAATATCATGTTCAAGGAATGAACTGACGGTGATTTTGACCTACCACCATCCAAGTACCACTAAAACAAAAAGAAAAATGTTCATTAATTTTGATGAAGAAAAATATAAAGTTGAGTTATGAAATGATAATGATCCATAATATCTAATTAATGGGTGGAGGATAAGATATGCAAAGTATTTTAATTAAACCATATTAAAGTGTATATTATCACATAACATTTTCATGGATCAAAATTACACAACACTTTTTAGAAAATAATTGAACTCAATCAATAAAGAAAGGGAACCCATTTTGAAATTTTCATCAAGAAAATCATGTGATGCACAAGTAGGTCAATCATTTACAAGAAAACAAGCAAATATCATCTTTTTCTTTTTCTGTTTTATCATGTAACGAAACAAAGTAGGAAGAAGAACAAGCTCTTACACCTTCAATGTCAATTTTGTAAACCAGAAGCTTCTTTCTTTCTCTGCAACTTGTTCTGTAGGCAACAACCACATGTAACACTGCCAAAGAACACGACCACACGAAGAGAGTTATCTGGGAGCCTCTGTCGTACCTTAGTAATTCTGTTTCTCCAACACTTGTGTCGTAGCCAAACAAGTAAACAACTTTGAAGCAAACAAACATCAGAGACATCACAGAGCATAACATGGTCACTCCCAGATAAGGCCCACGTGAAAGCTTTGGTCCATCACAAAAACTATAAACACCTACACAAAACCCACCACCCACCAATCCCAACACACAGGAATCAATCGGAATCTTGCATTAGACAGCTTTGGTATCTTTTCTCTGATTGTAATCAGAAATATTTTATCCAAAAACTGTTCTTTTAAACTAAACTGCAAGTATCAGTACGAAAGAAAGATTCAATTTTAATTAGAAAGTAATGCTAAAACCAGATTAAAAAAGTTTGATGAAGCTTAAAATTAAAAAGGGTATTCAGAAATGGAAGATTTGGAACTTACAGAAAATGAGAAGTGATCGTGCAATAGATAGAAGGGGTATGTCAAAGAGAGAGTATCCGAAATGGTAGTTCTGAAAATGGGAGAAAAGAGAAGAGGAAGAAAAGGCTGAGAATAGAACTGAAGGAACAAGTGCATCGACAATGACCGATAGAACTGGGGCAGAGAAAATAAGAAGTGAGAAAACCATCGTGATCAAGAAGAACACAATCTTCACACCTCTCAATACCCTCTTGGATTTCTCTTCCTTTGGAAAACCCATCTTCTTGATAACTTAGCTTTCTTTCTGATTCAAATACTTCAAAACTACTGTGTTTATTATGCACAAAGGGTAGAAGCAATTCACAAGAAAAAATGAAGGAAAAACCTTAAGAAAGAGAAACGGCAAAAAATTATTAGAACTTTAAACGCACAAAAATTAAGACTTTCTATCTTTTTCTCTCACCACAAAACTCTGTTTTCTTCGTTTCAATGTTCTTTTAAGTTGGCGCTTTGGGAGGATGATTCTGTATGAACCATGAATTGTATTGAAAATGAATCTTTGTTCAGATTTTGGCACGTGTCCCCTGATTTGAGATCTAACGTATTGGCTCTGGTTGTGGTGATTTCAGTTTTCAATATTTATATGCTAATGGGCGAATGCATGGTAGAACCCGAAGATCAAACGCATGTAATTACATGCTCTGTTTTGTCTTTACCAGTCACATAGGTATAATTAATTAATTAATTTTTGTTTTCTACCTCCGTACAGTTGAAAACATTTTTTTAATAGTTTTTCTATGAGTATTTATAAAATTAAAACAAAATAATGTTATTAAAAAACTAAAATTAGTTTATAGTATGTATCTCCATCATTTATTTTGTTGCAATTTTCATTCTTTTAAAATTAAGCATGCTGATAATTCTTTTAAAATTAAGCATGCTAACAAGGAGTATATTACTTTAATTTCTTTTATAAGAGTAAATTTATATAATTTGAGTAAAAAATAGATTTAACTTTTTGTAGAGGGTGATGGTTAGTTTAGAAAATAAATATACTCACAATGGTTAATTAGGAAACAAATAATTAGAGAAAAAAATACAATATATTAATAAATTATAATTTCAATTATTGAATTTAAATTAATATTTACCATTGTCTTTTATCAAATGTTTTTTTTTGTTTCCGTATTTAAAAAGATAGTTTAAAACTATGAAAGAAACAGGCTATTTTAAAGTGCAGGTTGAATATTTGTTATCACATTAACAAGTTTATCCTATAAAAATTGTATACAAGAAATGAGTTCCTTTAAAATTTATATCCTTTTCCATTTCTAAATAAAATATTTAAACATCTCTAAGTTATTTGGATTTTTTTTCTACTACTCGTGTTCTTCTTTCGTATCTTTCTCAATTCTCACTCTCTATTCTTTAACAGTCTACCATTTCTAATGAAAATATAATTCAAAGTATGATATATAAAATAAAATACATTAGACACTACCATTAGTTCAAATTTTAATAATTTTTAAGCTCCACATTTTATTTTATTTTAAAAACTGAATTCTGCTTGATAAAAATTTTGATTAGGAAAAGTATTATATTATTTTAAAATCTGAATTAGTTTCTAGAAAAGACATAGTCATATTTTACTAAATGCGTGTTGACGAAAGGCTAAAGATTTGGTAAAAAGTAAATATAATACATAAAAGGATGTCGCATTTCAAAACTTGGCATGTAGATGAT